TTGAAATCTAAAACATGAGACGGATCCCCAATCTACTTCCGGAGCATAGAAACATGAAATACCGGATGCACACTCGATAAACTGGGCGGCAAGGCAAGCTCATATGTCACCTCCCCAATCCTCCGAAGCACCTCAAAAGGAACAATGAATTGAGGACTCAATTTACCTTTCTTTCCAAATCTCATAACACACTTCAAGGGCGAAACCTTCGACAGAACCTTCTCGCCAACCATGTAGGACACATCTCGAACCTTCTTGTCAGCATAACTCTTTTGCCATGACTGCGTTGTATGAAGCCTCTCCTGAATCACCTTCACCTTTTCTAAGGCATCCTGCACCAAGTCTGTCCCCAATAGCCTAGCCTCACCGAGCTCGAACTAGCCAATTGGAGATCTACACCGCCTCCCGTACAAAGCCTCATATGGAGCCATCTGAATACTCGATTGGTAGCTGTTGTTATAAGCAAACTCTGCGTGTGGTAATAACTGATCCCATGACCCTCCGAAATCAATGACACAAGCACGCAACATGTCCTTCAATACCTGAATAGTGCGCTCGGACTGCCCGTCCATCTGAGGGGGAAAAGCTATGCTCAACTCAACCTGAGTACCCAACTCTCGCTACACAGACCTCCAAAACTGTGATATAAACTGAGTGCCCCTATCTGAAATAATGGAAACTGGGACACCATGCAACCAAACAATATCCCGGATATAGATCTTTGCCAACCGCTCTAAAGAATAAGTAGTACACACAGGAATGAAGTGCGCGGACTTGGTCAGCTAATCCACAATCACCCAAATAGCGTCGAACTTTCTCAATGTCCATGGAAGTCCAACAACAAAGTCCATAGTGATCCTCTCCCACTTCCACTCGGAAATATCTATTCGTTGAAGCAAGCCACCTGGTCCCTGATGCTCATATTTCACCTGCTGACAATTGAGACATCGAGCTACAAATCCGACAATGTCTTTCTTCATTCTCCTCCACCAATAATGCTGCCTCAAATCCTGATACATCTTCGCGGCACCCGGATGAATGGAATACCGCGAGCTATGGGCCTCTTCCAGAATCAACTCCCGAAGCCCATCCATATTGGGCACACAAATCCGGCCCTACATCCTCAACACCCCATCATAACTGATGGTCACATCTCTAGCATCATCATGCTGAACTTTGTACTTAAGGACAAGCAAATGCGGATCATCATACTGGCGCTCCCTGATACGATCATATAAGGAAGACTGAGAAACCACACAAGCCAATACCCGACTGGGCTCCGAAATATCTAACCTCACCAACCGATAGGCCAAGGCCTGAACATCCACTGCAAGAGGTATCTCCCCAACTGGAATATATGCCAGACTCCCCATACTCATCGCCTTTTGGCTCAGAGCATCGGCCACCACATTGGCCTTCCTCGAATGGTAAAATATAGTGATATCATAATCCTTAAGCAACTCCAACCACCTCCGCTGCCTCAAATTGAGATCCTTCTATTTGAACAAGTGTTGGAGGCTACGATGATCAGTAAACACCTCACAAGACACACCATACAAGTAATGTCTCAAAATTTTCAACGCGTGAACTATGGAAGCCAACTCTAAATCATGAACAGGGTAGTTTTTCTCATGGGGCTTCAATTGACGAGAAGCATAAGCAATAACTCTACCCTCCTGCATCAAAACACACCCAATACCAACTCGCGAAGCATCACAATACATGGTATATGAACCTAAAGATGATGGCAAAACTAACACTAGAGTTGTGGTCAACGTTGTCTTGAGCTTCTAAAAGCTCTCCTCACACTCATCCGACCATACAAATGAAACACCCTTCTGAGTCAACTTGGTCAAGGGCGATGAGATAGATGAGAATCCCTGAACAAAACGGTGATAATAACCCGCCAAACCAAGAAAACTATGAATCTCTTTTGCTGAGGACGATATGGGCCAACTCTGAACAATCTCTATCTTCTTCGGATCAACTTGAATTCCCTGGCTGGACACCACGTTCCGTAAGAAAGCCACTGAACTAAGCCAAAACTCACACTTGGAGAATTTTGCATAAAGTTTCTCCTCTCTCAATCTCTGCAACACAACTCTCAAATGCTCCGCGTGCTCCTCCTGACTACGCGAATATACCAGAATATAATCAATGAAGACTATGACAAATGAGTCAAGATAAGGTTGGAACACACTTTTCATCAAATGCATGAACATTGGTGGGGCATTGATCAGCCCAAAAGACATCACCAAGAACTTATAATGACATATTGGGTCCTGAAAGCTATCTTAAGAATATCCGAGTCGCTGATCTTCAACTGGTGATAACCTGAATGGAGATCAATCTTGGAGAACACTCTTGCTCCCTAAAGTTGGTCAAATAAATCATCAATGCGAGGCAAAGGATACTTGCTCTTAATTGTTACCTTGTTCAATTGCCTATAATTAATGCACATCCTAATAGTGCCATCCTTCTTCTTCACAAATAGAATCGTCCCACCCCAAGCTGACACACTAGGCCGAATGAACCCTTTATCAAGGAGTTCCTGAAGCTGCTCCTTTAATTCCTTCAACTCTGATGGTGCCATACGATACGGCGGAATAGAAATGGGCTGAGTGTCTGGCACCAGGTCAATACCAAAATCAATATCCTTGTCCGGTGGCATGCCCGGCAGGTCTGCAGGAAACACATTAGGAAAATCCTTCACAACTGAAACAGAATCAGTACTAGGAGTCTCAACACCGACATCCCTCACGAAGGCTAAATACGAAAAGACAACCCTTCCCAACCATACGCTGGGATTTCAAGAATGAGATCACTCTACTAGGAACGTAATCAGTCACACCTCACCACTCGATCCGTGGCACACCCGGTATAGCTAATGTGACTGTCTTAGTATGATAGTCTAGAATAGCACGACAAAGAGATAGCCAATCCATGCCCAAAATGACATTGAAATCCACTATACACAATGATAAAAGATCCACACGGGTCTCCAGACCCCCAATAGTCACCACACATGACTGGTACATACGGTCTACAACAACAGTATTGCCCATCGGGGTAGATACATGACTAAGTGAAGCAAGAAACTCATGGGGCGTACCCAAATAACGAGCAAAGTCTGATGACACATAAGAAAAGGTGGAACCGGGATCAAATAATACAGAGGCATCTCTGTGGCAGACTGAAACAATACTTGTAATAACAGCATCTGAAGCAATAGCATCGGGTCTGCCTGGAAGTGCATAGAAACGGGCCTAATCGCCACCTGATCAACATCTCTCTCTAGGGAGACCCTTAGCTAACTGACCTCCACCCTTCGCTGGCTGGGCAGGTGGTGGTGAAGTAACTGACGCTGAAGCCAATGACTGACCCCTCTGCTGATATGAACTGGCAAGACGACGAGGGCACCACCTCTACATATAACACATCTCACCACACTCATAACAACTCCCATGTGCTGGAGAAGGGGACTAAAGGGAACCCCTCGCACTAGAGTGACTAGCAGATGTACTCGGCATAGAAGAGCCATGTACTGATGGAGCACGGGTCGAACTCTGAGCTGGAAGGGCACTAAGTGATGACTGGCCCTGATGAGAACTATCAGAACCATGACTCGACGATGCCCTACGATAACCTGGGCGAGCTAGCTGAGCATGCCTGAATGGACGGCCTCTACCGTGCTAAAACTGACCTCTCGAAGGAGTACCCCCAAAAATACCAGATCCTTGAGGCCTCTTGGCCTCCCTCTCCTATTACTCCTGGCGAGAACAAACTCAATCTCATGGGCAATATCCACAACCTCCTCGAAAGTAGCACCAATCACCCTTTCCCTAGTCATGAGAATACGAAGATGATAAGTGAGGCCATCAACAAACCTCCTAATCCTCTCTCTATCTATCAGAACCATCCAAATAGCATGACGATCTATCTCAGAGAACCTCATCTCATACTGTGTCACAGTCATATCTCCCTGACGCAACCACTCAAACCTCCTACAGAGTTCCTCTCTATGGTACTGCGGCACATACTTCTTCAGAAAGAGAATAGAGAACTGCTGCTAGGTAAGGGGTGCTGCACCAATAGGCCTACGCCTCTCAAAAGCCTCCCACCAAGTGAAGGCAGCTCCAGAAAACTGATAAGTAGTGAAAGCGACCCCGCTGGTCTCCGGAATACCCGTTGTACAAAGCATCCTCTGACACTTATCCAAGAAACCCTGGCATCCTCGCCCTCTGCACCACTGAAGGTCGGAGGCTACAGTCTACCAAACCTCTCCAACCTACGATGCTCATCCTTCGGCATAACAGGATCTAAATAGTCGTGAGCAGCTGCAACCGGCTGGGCTGGATGTGACCCCAGTGTCTGAAGTCCCTGCACGACCTACTCAGGTGTGCGAGCGGTAGGAGTCTGATTGCCTCCCCCAGCCTGAGAGGTAGCTGCGACTGTAGTGGCTGAAACCGCCTAAGCAAGGCCAGTGCAAACAGGCAAGATCTGAGCCAAGGCCTCCTGAAAACCCAGAATCACAATGGCCACAGCTGGTGCCTGAGCTGGTGCTGCAGGAGCATCCATAACTGGGACCTGATCCTGAACTGGGGCAGCTGGTGGATTTGCAGGTGCTTCCCTAGTTGCTCTGCCCCTACTACGACCACGACCGTGTCCTCGGCCTCTAGTGGCCACAACTGGTGGTACTGGTGGTCGTCCATCCTGACCGGTAGCCCGTGTCCTCACCATCTGTGAGAGAGTAGAATAACAGAAGTTTCGTACTCGGATCAACAAATTCGCACGAAAAGAATTTCAAGAATATGAAGTTTTTCGTAAAGGTTCTGCAGCATCTCGAGGATAAATAAAAACGTCTCCATACCGATCCGCTAGACTCTACTAAACCTGCTCATGATTAGTGAGACCTGTGCTAAAATCTGATACCAGCTTGTCACGACCCTAAACCCGAACCCGGTCGTGATGGCGCCTCTCATGAAGACAAGGCCAACCAATTAAACCCAATTCACTTTTTAAACATTTAATCAGTAATAAACAGTATAAGCATGAGTAAATAAACCAAAGTCTAAGCAAAAGGTAGCATAATATGCGGAATATAGCCCAAACACAGCCTGATACCGGGGTGTCACAAGTCACGAGCATCTAACAATACGAAATACTCCAAAGAAACTATATAGTTTAAAATGAAAACTAAAGAAAAGATGAGATAAGATAGGGAGGAGCTCCGGGCTGTGAACGCCAACAGCTACCTAAAGACTCCTCGGATCCGCCTGAAGCTGGAATGATCAGCACTCGGGAGCGGGACCAGCTACGCCTGAATCTGCACACAGGGTGTAGGGAGTAAAGTGAGCACTCCAACTTAGTGAGTAACAAATGTAAATAAAGACTGAAAGCAAAAAATCACGTAAGCCACAAGGCATTCTATAATGAAGCAGTAAAAAAATTAAAATAGTAAACCAGTGAAAGGTAGGCAAAAAATTTTAACTCAAATGTAGTTTCATAAAAAGCCTTTTTCAATATTTAAGTAGGAAATTGACATTCAATTATGAAAAGTAAACACATAAAGGCTCGACCCTCGGGCACAGTATCAACAATTCCGCCCTTCTAGGGGTTTACAACCTCCTGGAGGGGCCCCTTACGGCCCAAGCACAATATCAAGCCACCTCGTGGCATCATCACTAGGCCATCGGCCTCATATCAATCAAGCGACTTCGTGGCATACATATCTCAAGCCCTCGGCCTCATAATCAATATCAAATGTTTCTTCACAACATAGTCCCTCGGCCTTACTCAGTCAAAATCCTCACAAGCCACTCGGACAATAGTAAAACATGATTCTCAGCCAAAAAAATATCATTTAAAAGATTCATGCAAGTGTTAAAAACATAGTAAACATGGCTGAGTACGAAAAACAGTTAAATATAACATGACTGAGTTCAAGTATAAAGTCAAAACATTGAGGAAATACTAGTAAAAATTCACGAAGGGTTCAAATAGTTGGCACATGGCTCAAATATGGCATTCAGCCCAAATAATGATGGTAGCAAATAGATTTCAGTCAAATACGCGGTAAAATAGTCATTCGGAATGGACTAAGTCACAATCACCAACAGTGCATGACACCACGCTCGTCATCAAGCATGTGCGTCACCTCAATATAGCACCACGATGTGCAAGTCCGGGGTTTCATTCACTTAGAACATCATTTACAATCATTACTCACATCGAACCGGTCAAATCTCTAGCTTTGCGACGCCTTTGCCCTTCGAATCGGCCTCCACTCACATCAAATCTATCAGAAATTAGAATGAGGACATCAAAATATGCTAAGGGAACGAAGCGCAAGCAAAAATAATAAAAATACTACATAAATCACGAATTTACCAAAACCCGACCCCAGGGCCTACGTCTCAGAATTCGATAATTTTTACATCAATGGATTCCTTATCTCCTCACGATTTCATACATATCAAAAGTTCTAAAATCCAACCTCAAATGGTCGTTCAAATCCCCAAGCAAAGGTCTAAGTTTCCTAGCCCTAGTTTCCCCAATTTTTACCCTTAATTCCCATGATTTCTAGCTCTAATCCGTATAATATCATAGGAATGAGTTTTAGGTCCAAATTCCTTACCTCAATGAAGTTTCCTTGAAAACCCTCTTTCAGATCGTCCAAAAAGCTCCAAAGCCGAAGTCAAAACTGGTAAAATAGCTCAAATTCGCAAAAGCTACGATTTATACCTTCTGCCCAGACATTTTCGCATCTGCAGCTATATTTATGCTTCTGTGGTACCGCATCTGCGGTAAAAAATCACCGCATTTGCGGTCCTCACTTAAACTCCCAGTTCAGCATCTGCGATTCATTATCCGCATCTGCGACTTCGTAGATGCGGTCCTCTTAGCCGATATTGTGATTCCTACTCCTCAAACCCTTTTTTACTTCTGCGGTCGATCTCCCGCACGTGCAGTGTCACATCTACGGTCTCCAATCCGTAGGTGTGGAAATACCAGAAGCAGCAAAAGTTCAGCAGCTGCAAACATTCCTCAAACTCCCCGTCAACCATCCGAAATAATCCGAGGCCCCCGGGACCTCAAAAAAAAACACAAACATATCCCAATACCTTATTCAAACTTGTATCAATCTTCAAAACACCTCAAACAACGTCAAATCAACCAAAACACATTGGATTCAAGCCAAACTTTCTAAAATCCTCTGAATTTCGCTTTTGATCAAAAACCCAACCAAACCACATCCGAATGACCTGAAATTTTGCACACACATCTCATGTGACACAATGAAACTACTGCAACTCTCGGAATTACATTCCGACTCCTATATCAAAATCTCACCTACCAACCGAAAATCGCCAAAATATTTACTTCGCCAATTCAAGCCTAAATCTACTCCAAACCTCCAAAACTCATTCCGATCACGATCCTAAGTCATAAATCATCTCCCAAAGCTAATCGAACCATCGGAACTCACATCCGAGCTATCTAACACATAAGTCAACCAGATGTTGACTTTTCCAACTTATACTCACTCTAAAGAAACTCAGTGTCTCAAATCTTACCAAATCCTTTCCGAACTCGATCTGACCAACCCGATACCACATAATACGAATAAACAAAGCATAAAGAAGCAAAAAATAGGGTAAACGGGGTGGTAACTCATGAGACGACTGGTCGGGTCGTCACACGTACCCATAGTCACGATGATTTTATTAATTGCGTCTAAAGCAAGCTATGATATTCATGAGTTATTTATTTTCCTGAAAATTTTAGACTGCTTGGGAACATCTAAGAGTCATATAAATTATTGGAAAGAAATTGTGTGATTCGATTATGGAGAAGAACATTTTGGACTCATAGGTCCTACTTATATTGGCCCAGATCTTTATAAATTCGAACTAATCTCACATGCCAAATCATTTTCACTAAGTTCAAGCCTTATATTCAACCTCTTTCAATAGATACAATTCCAATTCTCATTAACAAATTTCAAATTGTTTTATCTCAATTTAACAAAGAGATAGTAGTATAATTTCATGTAGTCACTAAACACAATATAGGCATAAAAGGCAGTTACAATAAAGAATAGATAGAACAAAACATAAAAAATGGAGAATGGATTATATATTAACTCAAACAATAAATAAAGTAAGGCAATAGAGGATTAATGACAACTTGTAAATTAGAACGAAAGTAGAAAAGGAATAGAGATAACAGACCTTTTATATATATGAAGATTTGTTGAATCCAAACATGAAAACTCGACGAGAGAATTCGAACAAACCGAACCAGGCACGGAGAACTCGCTGGCGATCTCGGGTGACAGAGCTTCGACGTGATTAATGGAGAAAATTAAAACTACTTTTGTGGTGCATTTGGGGTTAGTTTTTGGCTAAAATGTGGGGCTTTTGGGGGCTGTTTTCGAGTTGAGCTTGGGGGTGCTTTTGGTGGCTTTATTGTTGATTTTTGGTGAGCTTTTGGAGCTATTTTCAATGGCCATTTTGCTGTATTTTTTCAGCTGTAAACAGTGGTGTTTTGGAGTTGTTTGATGGAGTTTAAGAGTGGCTTAATGGAGGTTTCATGGCTAAAAAAATGGGCTCTTTGGGGTTGTTTGAGGGTGGTTTAATGAAGGATTTTAGGAAGAAGATGAAATAGAAAAGAGTAGGTGTGTCTTTTTTTTCAGATTTGTGTTTTCCCCATTTTTCTCTATTTCCTCCTATCCGTCTCTCTCTGTTTTTTGTCCATTGTCCTCTCATCCCGTTTATATTAATTGTGAGCCTAGGTGAGTGCTTGATGAGGAAGGAGGAATATAAGTGGTCCCCATGGAATATTTTTGTGGTCCTCCCCTACTAAAATCACTGTATTTATGTATGTATGGAATTGTAGTGTGCATGTGATAAGTTTGTTAGAGGAATTATGTAGAAGTGTGTGGTGTGAAAAGGTGATTGGAAGAAAAAAAAGAAATATAAAAAGGAAAATAAAGAAGATAAAGAGACTACGTCCACTATTTCATTTCTTGTTTCAATTTTACTTTTGCTGTTCTTTTGATTTCATTCTTCTCATTTTTCCTTTGTTTTTTTTTTGTCTTGTTAGTTTTTGTTTTATTGATAAAACAAAAGCTCAAAATACTAATATATATAGTCCTAAAACGTGGAATCTTTTTATTTTTTTTAAAAAAACTAAATTAGAAACTACAAGAGAGGAAAAAAACATGTAGTAAAAGTATTAAAAATAACATTAAATCAAAGTTATGGCTAATAAAATGAAAACTTAATACTCTAAAATAATGTGACTTTTTTTGTTATTTTTTCAATTTTATCCAAAGAAGATACACTAAAAATTGCTAGAGAAATACTAATTAGCTAAAATAAAAGAAAAAAATTATTTTTTGTAGTTTTCATTTTAAGAGAAAATAAAGCAAAAAGGTCAAAAATAGGCAAAGTAACAATATTAGAGCTAAAAAATATTTAAGTACTAAAGGTGTAAAAATCTCGGGGAGGGTCAAAAATTACATGTCTACAGGGCATACAGATAAGTATAGGCAAGGAAGGACATCACAAAGTAATAGCTTATGTTAAAGAAAGCTAAGAAGGAACGAAAGGAATTATTCGATCAATGATCTAGAGTTAGCTACGTTATGAACGCACTTAAAATTTTGGAGTATTACCCATTCAGCATATATGTTGACAATCATACAGTCACGGAAGACTCTGGTATAAGTTAAAAGAAGTAATTGAGTTCAAGTCATAGACAAAGGGTTGAAATTTGTATCATGGATATTCCATAACGCCCATGAAAGGCCAAAGTAATAACTAATACCAGGAACCGCAAATCAGAATATAGCTTAAGCCTACATAAAGACTGATCTAAAGGAGAGCAAACTAAAGAGCTACATCAACGAAGTAAATCAGAAATCTGACTATTGGACCCAGAAAATTATAGATCTCGTAATTGAGAACATTGCAGGATTACCTTTTAGATATCAGAGGCACACGAGAGATAGTATAGTAGACATATTCTATAATAGCTCTACGATAAAGCCAGTTAAAAAAGTAACAGCCTCATAAGAAGTCGTTTCGAAGCTCTAACCGGATTGTAGTGTTATAATAGAGCTTCAAGTTGTGGTAATTCATACCTATATGGAGGGGATGTTATGAAGGAGAAGAAGATATGATGCGAGATGCTAAGTAAGTAAGGTAAAGGTGAACAACGTACGAGATACTCAAATGCAGAAGGTTCTGAATAGTCCATACTTTGGATAGAAGGCTAGAAGCGTGAGGATTCAATAACCAGGAATGATAGCGGCATCATCAGAGCCATGTCTTCTTGATTATGGTTTCTAAGTACCGAGAGGTCTAGTTAAGAGAGTAGAGAAGGGTTAGAGACAATGTGATGTATCGCTTGATGTTCCAGAATAACATAAGGAAATCTATGGTGAAAGAAAGTTAAAGGAAGGTTATGAGTAGTATAAGTGGATATGTATAGGTCGCAAGTTAAAGTATGGTAGAGCGACAAAGTTTTAATAATACATAAGTAAGGATAAGGAAAGGCAAATGAAAAGGTGACAAGAATGGATAAGTCCTCGGGATTATGTCCATGAAAACAAGAGATCTAATGTTTATCTAAGTTATAGAAAGTTCAGTATAGCCTGAATGAACTCAAAGGAGTCTAAGACTAATAACATTTAGAAGAAATAGAATGTTGCCTTGTTAATGGAATGAGGGTGTAATTGTGATAAGTAAAGAATGACATTTGGCCCTTCGATTGAGTAATGATTTTAAAAGAAAAAAGAAAAAAAGAGGGAGATTTTATGAGTTGCACATGATTAAAATACCCACGTAGGGTGAATCACATTGGGATGCTATGAAATACGATTATGGAAATCACTTCAAATATTTGTCGATGCAACGTAAGCCCTAGTGGCAAGGTATTACATAAGAAGTTTCAAGTTATCAATGATATATTATAGATCAATATTGAGGCAAATCATAATGATGGACAAAAGTCACAAAGTATGATCTAAGATTATATCGTCATTCTTAAGATGAACAGTAATGAGGAAGCATTAAAGGACTTAGCCTTATGCATATAGGATAAGCAACTAAAGTAACCTGGAGTTTGGTTGCAGACCTCAGTAACGACAAATCGAAGTAAGAGAGATGGTATACTAACATACTTAGATGCAGTAAAGTCATACGAATAGATAATCGAGTCTATAAAATAAGATATAGCAATATTCATAAATTCGACAAAGTATCAAGCAAAGAACTTCAGTATACTTATAGATTCCTAGAGGGACATCTCACCAAGCTCTGTATATGTTCACAAAGTAAGGCCTAAAGATTGGCTAAAAGCTAGAGGAAAAAGGAGAGACGATCGCATGGGCGTACTTACAAGGTTAGAGTCGTACAGGCTGCATGAAAGAAGGTAGAATAAGTTAAGAGATTGGAAGGATTCAAGCCACAAGTCGTGGCGTGAGAAAGAGGCCTAAAGGGGGAATGTTCTGGCCTTTGGATTTTTTCACAGAATAATTGCCTAAATGGCAAGGAGAGCATTAAGGTATTCACAAGAGTTATAAGTTATGAAAATGATAAGAGCATCAGTCAACATTCGAGGACGAATGTTCCAAAAGGGGGACTAATGTTACGCCCCGCAATATTACGTCGATATTACGTCCCACAGTATTATATTACGATAATGTTACATCTGCAATATTATATTATGATGACGTTACATCTTATAGTATTATATTACGATGATGTTATGCCTTGCATTACTACATTACGATAATGTTACGCTTTGCAGTATTAAATTATAATGATGTTGCACCCTGTAGTATTGTATGTTGAATTTTTCGTAAGGTAATTAACATTAGTCAAAGGAAAAGATTATTTGTAGATTATAAAGATTATGCTATTTCATAAGTGATGAGTAAATTCGTAAAGATGATAGGGGAAGCAAGTCAAAGAAAATGAATTTTCGTCCATGTTTGACATGTTAGGATAATATACGGGCCGATCATTAATACCCGATATTTATGGATTAGTACCATAAAAGGTACTACATAATCATGATAGTAAGGTGTATAAGGTGTGTTAAAAGTAAGTAGTATTTTAGTAAGTGTAGATAATTCTTAATTATGTGGGGTATTGGTTAATGGGAAATTACCAAGTTATTAAGAAATGGGTGGATAACTTATTATAATCTTTTGGATAACCTTGAAAATGTGGCAGCAAAATGTTTCAATCAATATGACTCTTATAAGTTTTGCAAGATATCATATTTGGTCAATTAAAGTGGCTTAGTCACCGCTTGAAGTGGGCCCACACCCAAACACACTTAAGAGATGTGTGAATAATTTACTTCATTTGGTCTCTTATATTTTCAAGAGATTCAAGTAAATAGTTCTTTCCATTAAGAACTCATGTTAGTCCTCATGAAGGAAATTATAACATTTTCCTACTCCAATACTTAATAATACATGATGAATCACTTAGTAGGCATTGGATTTGTGTTACTGTTTTGAGATTTTGCAATTATAATGGAATACTGTGCAATCTTTCTCAAGAAAATTGGTTCAAATATGTTAAGGCTATCCCTTCTTTCTTTTGGCATGATCCATACGATACAAACGAAACGAGCAAACGCACAACTTCCACAAATGACTCTATTCATAGAAGTATTAGAAATGCCTACGTTTTGGTATTCCCATCTGTCATATTATTTTACCCTCTGTTCATAGGTCTCAGAAAAATATGTAAGTTGAAAAAGTTTACTTAATGATATTGCCCAAAGACATAATGGTCTTATGACATTCCGAAAGATTTTATTAACGTACTTCTCATAAATTGCATTCATGTACATTGGCCCATGGCCAGATGGCGTTATATACATGTATATATGTATCTTATATGTATACGGGATATGGGAAAATGTTACGGCGCTATATACGCACCACCACCTGATCAGCTGGTATACGTTGATGATTTTTCCCACAGTGGCTGAGATGATATGATGGGATGCCCTCAGCGGCTGATGATGTTATGAAACATGTACCTTTGCACGACATGACATTCATACACATATGCATGACACTATAAGTATTTAATGATTTACAAAGTTTTCCAGACTTACAGGTTGAGTTATGTACTCTATATTTTCCCAGGTCTTTTATGTACTTATTTATGTGCCTTACATACTCGAAACATTATTCGTACTTATGTCACTTTTGTCTAGGCTATTTTTCTGATAGACAGGTCGAGAGCCCTCCAAGTAGGCTATTAGAGTTACTTGGTGCGCTCCATTTGCTTCAGAGTTACTTGTTGGGTTAGTATGATTTAGACGTGCGCTGTTTGGTATGGCGGGATAGACCTTTTTGAAAATTATGTATTCTTAGAGGCTTGTAGACAGATGGCATGTACGTAAAAGATTATATGGCCTTGTAGGCTTATGTTCAGTATACGAGTGGTTATTTTTGCCTTATAGGCCCATATGTCTTATGTATAAATTGGTATCACATGTTGTATTCTACTTAACTCACGGCAGCCTTCCGGCTCCGTTATCTATGATAGTATGACATGAAATGATATGTTATGTTGGTACTCGGTTGGGTATGGTATTGGGTGCCCGTTGCGGCCCATCAGTTTGTGTTGTGACATAAGCGGTGCAATGTTACCTGTAACTTGTCCAAATACCTTTGCATTCTATCCTCCCGAACTTCAAGCTTTTGTTTACTTGATTTACC